TGCTGCGGGGAGAGAGGCTTCGGCCGGGGAGACAGTCTCGGCGAAGCACCAGCAGGACCTCCAGACGAAGCAGCACCCCGAGGCTCAGCACCCCCAGACTCAGCACCCCCAGGCTCAACACCCTCAGGCTCAGCACCCCCAGGCTCCACACCCCCAGGCTTTGCACCCCCAGACCCAGCACCCTCAGACTCAGCGCCCCCAGGCTCCGCACCCCCAGACGCAGCACCCCCAGACGCAGTACCTCGAGCAGTACCTCAGTCCCCAGCTACCTCAACAGGCACAGTACCAGGGAGAGGGTCTACCTGAGACACACCTGAGGGAGCAGGACCCTGGGGCGGGAGGGGGTCTACGGGAGGGGGACCTGGAGCAAGGAAGAGCGGCGGGGGCGGGGTAGGGGCAGAGCGGTAGGGGAAGAGACGGTAAAAGGGAACCGACTCGTCAAACATGACGTCCTGAGAGGAGAGGACACGACGCGAGGTGGGGTGGTAAAACTGCCAACCAGGCGCCTATGAGGGAAAGCAAAGGAAGACGCAGGGGATAGCACGGGCGGAGAGCTTGTCCGCGAACGTATCGCGAACAAAAGCACGAGAGCCCCAGACCCGGAACACCGACGCATCGCCAACCTGCCCCGTCCAACGCAGTGTGGGCGAGGTCTCCGGCAAGGAGACACGGGGCCAGAGGTTGAGCTGATGCGCAACGTACCGGACCACAAACGGCCATAGAAAATGGGGAGCAGCCGCATGGATCATGGAGGTACGAGCGACCTCCATGACTAAGCCAATGCGACGCTCAGCAATCCCATTCTGCTGCGGAGAGGCCGGAAGCGTGAACGACTGGAGGATGCCCTCCCCACGACAAAAGTCCTTCAAGAGGTCGGAGGAGAACTCACCACCTTTGTCAGAGTGCAGACGCAGGACAGGAAGGTCCTCGCCGAAGCGCTCGCGGAGCTGGAGACGGACAGCGCGGATCCAAGGGATCAGAATATCAAGGACCTCACCCTTGCTGCGCAAGGGGAAGACCGTGGTGTAACGCGTGTAGTCGTCAACAAACAGCAAAAAGTAGCGCTCGCGGCCCTGTCCACTGACAAGGGCTGGGTCCCACACGTCCATGTGGAGAGTCTGCAAGGGAGCAGTCGTCGGGGGAAACGAGGAGGAGTGAGGAGCGGCGCGCTGCTGCCGCTCGACGCAAGGAAGGCAGGGCGGAGCAGTCGAGGGCGGGAGGGGAGGCAGAGACCTGGGAAGACCAGAGACAAGGAGACGGGAGTGCATGCCACGAAGGCGTGGCAGGGAGGGGTGACCAAGGCGATGGTGCCAGAGAAGAGTCTGGTGTGACAGGAGGCGACACGAGCAAGGGGGTGCTACCTGACCTGACGCGAACACCTGGGCAGACGCAGCTTCCTGAGGAGACTCGGTAGCCAGTGTGTACAGACTAGACCCTGGCCGACGAGTGAACGTGGCCAGGTGACGGCCCGTCCGTGTACATGTGCAGATCGACACACGCTGACCCCCAGGAGTGGTGGTAGTGACCATCGAATCTTGGAGGGCAGCTGTACTCACCAAGTTTGTAGAGAACGAGGGGAGGTGAAGACCTGACAGTGAGCCGGACGGAACCGCCGGACACGGGAGAACAGTGGAGGAACGGGCAACGACTCGGCCCCTGGAGGGGTCAGCCAGTCTGACCGGGACAGGTGCAGGGAGAGGAGTGAGGGTGGTGCTGTCACGAAAGAAACAACGTGAGGCACCTGAGTCCAGCGTGAAGGTGTGCAAGGCCTCAGCAGGCGCAGTACCAGGGAGAGCAGACTCACTAGCACCTAGAGCAGCAACCGCTATACCTGGGTCAGGTGGCACACACCGGTAACAGTCACCCTCTGCACTAACAGACAATGCATACATAGCAGTAAGAACAGCATCAAAGTCTAGATAAAAGATAGCAACCCCAGACCTAAGCAGCTCTGCCCAGCGGAGGCGCTCGACGTCGTCACCAAACTCAGCACGCCAAGCGTCGTCGAGGCGGGAGAAGCAGCGGTGCTGAGTGTGAAACCTCCCGCATGTCTGACCAGCACGGTCACCCATGCGAATGACATACAGGCAGCTACCACTACCCCAAGACGCCCCACGCTGAAACAACCACTCACGAAGCTGCTGGGGCGACTGGGCCTCGCTCTGACGCTGCTGCTGCTGCCTCTGGCCACCTCCAAAACCTCCACGCTTAGCTCCAGTCCTACCGCCACCAGTCCCACTGCTGCAACTACCGCCACTCCCACCGCTGCCTCCACCGCCGCCACCAGAGCCCCCACTCCCACCACCACTCCCACCGCTGTCACCACCTCCACTGCCTCCACCACCTCCACTGCTGCCCCCACCACGACCCCCGCTGCCACCGCCACCACCCTTGATACCCGTGCCCTTGCCACTGCGGAGCACCCCTCAAAGATGGGCGTGCGCGTAGTGCCATGAGCGGCACCTACAGCAACTGCACTAGTCTCAGCTGCGAGGAGGTGCTCCTCGAGTAGGTCAACAGTGAGGGAGGTGGGGTCAAGTGAGAGAAAGTGGTCCCTGAGAGAGCGAAGAGAGTCAGGGAGGTGGGTGACTATGAAGTAGAGAGTGATGAACATCGGGGGCTGGTTCCTGTCAAGGAACTCAGCAGGGACGGTAGCGCGGTAGCGAGCGTCGCTAGTGCGGAGGTGGGAAATAAGGTCCTCTACCGTGGCAAAGGCGGACAGCTCGAGGAACAGGTAGGGCAGAAGCAGGCGGCTTAGAGCAGCAGTGGCAGGCGAGGAGTAGCGAGCGACTACAGCGTCGTACAGTGCCTGTGCGGTCCTGTGCTGTCCGAAGTGAGCGCATTCGGCTAACGGCAGGTGGTTGCGAATGGCTAAGCGGGCAGCAGCATCGTGAGTAAGCCACTGTGAGCGAGTCGCACTGTCAGCTGTGGCGGGAGGGGCGGTAGCGGCGCCTGACACGAGGTCAAACAGCAAAACACTGTCCTTAGAATCGCTCAGGAGGTACAGCCGCAGGTCGTCAAGCCACGTGTCAAACTGAATCGGTCCGCCCTCATGATCGAGCGCAAGAACTCGAAGCGAAGCCATAGCGGCGCAGCACGCAGAGAGGGGAGAAGCAGGGCAGGCAGCAGCAGCAGCAGTAGTACGTAGGAGCAGCAGAGAGGGACGGCAAGCAGGGCAGCAGTAGCAGCACGCAAGAAGCGGCATGCGAGGCCTGGGGTCGACGGGCCGGGGCCTAGGGGCGACGCCGCGGGGCCTAGGGGCGACGGGCCGCGGGGCCAGGGGCTACGGGCCGGGGCTAGGGGGGACAGGCTGCGGGGCCAGGAGCGACGGGCCGCGGGGCCGGGAGCGACGGGCCGGGGGCCTAAGGGCGACGGGCCGCAGGGCCTAGGGGCAACGGGCCGGGGGCCTAGGGGCGACAGGCCGCGGGGCCAGGAGCGACGGGCCGCGGGGTCGGGAGCGACGGGCCTAGAGCCTAGGGGTGATGGGCCGCGAGGCCTAGGGGCGACGGGCCGGGGGCCTAGGGGCGACGGGCCGCGGGGCCAGGAGCGACGGGCCGCGGGGCCAGGAGCGACGGGTCGGGGCCTAGGGGCGACGGGCCGCGGGCCTAGGGGCAACAGGCCACGGGGCCAGGAGCGACGGGCCGCTGGGCCGGGAGCGACGGGCTGGGGGCCTAGGGGCGACGGGCCACGAGGCCTAGGGGCGACGGGCCGCCGGGCTAGGGGCGTCGGGCCGCGGGGCCTAGGGGCGACTGGCGACGGGCCGCGGGGCCTAGGGGCGACGGGCCGCGGGGCCAGGAGCGACGGGCCGGGGAGCCAGGAGCGACGGGCCGGGGGGCTAGGGGCGACGGGCCGCGGGGCCTAGGGGCGATGGGCGACGGGCCGTGGGGCCTAAGGGCAACAGGCCGCGGGGCCAGGAGCGACGTGCCGGGGCCTAGGTTAGGGGCGACGGGCGACGGTCGACGTGCCGGGCCTAGGTTGTCAGAATATTATGTTACTCTAGTCTGCAGTGGGGCACTCTGTAGTGAGTACAACCCTGTTAGGGTTTGCTATATGTATCCCAATGCTTTCTAGTGCAATCATCCTCACTCATTTCATTCTCGATTCTCATTTCATTCCCGTAGCGGCCCCTGCGCCTGCCGTGAGAGCCAACGCCGGCCCCGTAAGGCCCCGTACGGCCCCCTTTTCCGGCCCCGTTTCCGGCCCTGTAAGGCCCCGTAAGGCCCTGTTTAAGGCCCCGTAAGGCCCCGTAAGGCCCCGTACGGCCCCGTTTACGGCCCCGTTTAAGGCCCCGTAAGGCCCCGTAAGCCCCGTAAGGCCCCGTAAGGCCCCGTTTACGGCCCCGTTTAAGGCTCAGTAAGGCCCCGTAAGGCCCCTTCGCGGCCCGTTAGGCCCCCTTCGCGGCCCGTTAGGCCCCTTCGCGGCCCGTTAGGCCCGTCGCGGCCCCTTTCGCGGCCCGTTAGGCCTCCGTCGCGGCCCCTTCGCGGCCAGTTAGGCCCCTTCGCAGCCCCCGTTACGACCTGTAGCGGCCCCTTCGCGGCCTGTTAGGCCCGTCGCGGCCCCTTCGCGGACCTGCCCCGACCCTGTCGCGGCCCCGTCCCGGACCTGCCCCGACCCCGGCCTTGCCCCGACGCTGTCGCGGCCCCTCGTCGCGGCCCACCGTCGCGGGGAAGGCCCCGTCAGGCCCCGTTCGCGGCCCGTTAGGCCCCTTCGCAGCCCACCCCGGCCCTTCCTCGGCCCCGTCCCGGCTCTGTCCCGGACCTGCCCCGACCCCGGCCCTGCCCCGACCCTGTCGCGGCCCGTTAGGTCCGTCGCGGCCCCCCTTCGCGGCCCGTTAGGCCCCTTCGCTGCCCGCCCAGGCCCTTCCCCGGCCCCTTTCTCGGCCCGTTAGGCCCCGTCGCGGCTTGTCGCGGCCCCTTCGCGGCCCGTTAGGCCCCTTCGCGGCCCGCCCCGGCCCTTCCTCGGCCCTGTCCCGGACCTGCCCCGACCCAGGCCCCGCCCTCATGCCGGTCGTGGCGCACCAGGGGCCCGTGCACCGCCCCCCCCCCCCTTTTCTCGCCACGCAAGGCGACGGGAGGGGCGACCTGGGGGGGCGCGCGTCGCCCCTTCTTCCGCCTGCTCTGGCGCCCTGGGAGGCCGCGCGTCGGCCCCCGTACTCCTCCCCCCCCCCCCCCCCCTCCCATCTCTCTACTGCGGGTGCAGCAGTGGGGGAGGGTATGGGGGTGGCGAGTGTGGCCAACCCGCCAGCCCTGCTGCGCCCCGCGCGCCCTGCTGCCCTGTGCGCCCCGTGCGCCTTGCTGCCCTGCTGCCCTGTGCGCCCAGCGCGCCCTGCAGCCCTGTGCGCCCTGCGCGCCCTGCTGCCCTGCTGCCCTGTGCGCCCCGTGCGCCCTGCTGCCCTCTGCACGCGCCATGCACAGCACCCCCCACCCCCCCTTCTCCTCCATCCCCTGCTGCAGGTGCAGCAGTGGGGGAGGGTATGGGGGTGGCGGGTGTGTGGCATCACCTGCTCCTCCTCCTCCTTCGTCTCCCACTGCTGCAGCTGCCGCTGAGGGGGGTGGGTGTGTGTGAGTCGACGGAGTGGTGCTAGGGGGTGGATTGTGAGCGAACCTAGGGGTGCAGCAGGGGGTGTGTGAATGGGGGGTGCCGTAGTAGAGGGAGGTTGGGTGGAGGTAGCCGTCGTGTTGCTAGCAGTGCCAGTAGTCCGGAGGTGCGCTTCCGGTAGCCCAGTGATGCCGCTGCGCCAGTCGCCCGTGGGTCCGTTGCTCCTGCCGCTCGTCTTAGCCGCGGAGCCAGTTACTCCTGTAGTCCGGAGGTGCGCCTCCGGTAGCCACAGTGCGCGCCGCTCCTGTTGCCCGTGTGACTGCAGCTTCCGCCGTTGCCTCCTCTCTCCTCTCCTATTAGTCCAGCCTCCTCCTCCTCACTTGCCCTCTGTGATAGCCTCTAACTTTGCTTATTTATTGTGAACTTTAAACTGTTACTTCTTGTACTTGTGCTCCGAATGTGTGGTGACATTGTGATCCACCCTGAGCTAGCTTTGCTTTGCTTCTTGTGCTGATCATACCCCACTTTGACTATGGGGGTGTGTCAGAATATTATGTTACTCTAGTCTGCAGTGGGGTACTCTGTAGTGAGTACAACCCTGTTAGGGTTTGCTATATGTATCCCAATGCTTTCTAGTGCAATCATCCTCACTCATTTCATTCTCGATTCTCACATAGGTTAGGGGCGACGGGCCGCGGGGCCAGGGGCGACGGGCTACGGGCCGGGCCTAGGGGGGGGGGCGACGGGTCGGGTCCTAGGAGCGACGGGCGACGGGCTGGGACTAGGGGCGACGGGCGACGGGCGAGGGGCCGGGGCCTAGGGGGGACGGGCGACGGGCCTAAGGGCTGCACGAGGGCGGTGCGCGGAGTAGCAAGGGCAGCACGAGGGTCGCTAGCGGGGCAGCTCAGTGAAGGGCCCAAAAAAAAACTTCGGTCCTAACGGAGGATCTGCTCTGAAACCATGTCAAGAACTAACGAACAAGAATTAATGAACTAGCAAAGAGTTGGGTACAAGTACTAACCCTAATTGGGTTGTACCCCTTATGAGCTACCCCACTACAGCGTACACAATGTAAGCTACATATAAGTTTGACAATTTTGATCACGGTGCGTCAGAAGCTCTGCACTTGACGCCAACTCGGTTTCGTCCAAGATTACACCAGCGGGTTTCTGGCGTTGTGTGGGCTACATGTACGAATCTGAGTGTATCGACCGCTACATCGGCGGCCTAAAGCACGACATCACTTAGGAAATCCAGCTCTGCGGCGTCACCGATTTTCAGGAGATTCTCGCTATGGCGGATAAGCTCGATTTCTTCTGCTGACCGAGTCCGGGGTCCTACGGAAATAACAACAACTGGGGACATTGGTCTCGTGGGACGAACGAGGGCGCTACGATACGTGCCGTCGCCGCGAATGCCGCTGCCGCACCGTTCAAAGGGCGCTGCTTTGCGTGCAATCGGCCGGGGCACCGCAAAAGCGAATGCCCGGAAAATGCTAAGGGAAAGGGGGAAGCTGGGCTGCAGAAACAGACCAAGCAGCAGGGAAACGCTGGGAGTCATTAGCAGACGTGCCCTCTACTGACAGGTCACGCCGCTCGCCTGACCCAACCAACCCTCACCGAGTGATTGTGCCGGTTTACGCAATCGACCACACCCGAACGAATAAGGAGGGTACCACGGTAGACAGCCCCATACTGCTTAGTGGGAAAATTGGGATAGACTTAGTTAAATTATTCGTAGATGAGGGAGCCAGCCACAGCCTCATCAACACCGCTACAGCACGGAAACTGAGACTGCCACTGGACAGATGTTTACCTGAGATCGACGCAAGACTGGTTGACGGCATGCGACTGGCGATACGGGAACGTGTGGACTGAGTTAGGATTCGCTGCAGGGGTAACTTCACGTTTAGTCAGGAAATGCTCGCGACAACCCTTGATGGAACCGACATCTTACTCGGCCGTGATTGGCTGCGACGACACAATCCGTGAATCGACTCGACGATGGGTGACTGCACTGTGCGAGTGAACGGTAACAACATTGCTACCTTGCTGGGGCTCGCCTGCGTCTTCGTCGGTGCGTGTCAACGCAATCATGATGAAACGCGACGTAGCGGCAGGAGCTGACGTGTACGCCGTCGACATTCGTGAAGCCGAGGCAGCAGACAAAGGGGGGGATTTACAAAATTTGCTAGCCGACATACCGGATGACTTGGCAACACTAACTAAGCAGTACAGCGGGATTTCCCCGGACGATTTGCCAACAAGACTACCACCTCAGCGACCGCACGCCCACAGGATAGAGTTAGAACCGGGGGCACAACCGACAGTACAGCGACAGTTCCGACTGACCCAACCTGAACTGGACGAACTGAGGAAGCAGCTGGATTACCTGCTCGAGAAGGAGTTCATTCGCCCGAGCTCGTCACCCTTCGCAACACCGATACTGTTCACACTGAAGAAGGATGGGGGTTTTCGCATGTGCATCGACTACTGCACACTGAACAAGGTTACCATCAAGTCCCGTTACCCCATCCCGCGAGCTGACGAACTGATCAACCAACAGCGCACAGCCCGGGTTTTCTCGAAAATCGACCTTCGAGGAGGCTACTATCGGATCCGTGTCAACCCACCCGACTGCCCGAAAACAGCTTTCCGAACACGCTACGGATCCTTCGAATACACCGTCTGTCAAAATATGTTTACATATTTTATATAATCGTTTGCAGTTGTAGTGTAGATATTGCATCATGTTTGGTGGTGCACTTCCTTGTGTTGCTGTTTACCTATTGGTACTGCTCGCTCTATAGCGAACAACCTCTTTTTGGCTTGCACTTTTCCTCTCGTCACTCTCGCCTAGGTCAAACCCTAGGCCCCTAAACTATTATGTTTAACATGGTACAGAGCACGTAACATCCTGGCCTGCTGTTTTCAACTACTCCATGGGCCCACCGCGTATTTCTCGTTTCGTGGCGCCCGTCGCGCCCTTAGTTGCGACTGACGTGACGGGCGCGACGGCAAGCTGTCTGCTGTCATGGCGACGAGCTGGGCGGCTCGTACTGCCCCGTTGCTCCTTCGCCCTGTCACCCGCCCAGCGCTACCCGCCCCGTCCCGACCTGCCCCACCCCGTTCTGTCACGAACACAGCAGCAGCCGCGCGCAGCTGCGTACGGGCGCGCATTGCTGCGCGCAGCCGCGTACGACCGTGCGCACCCGCGCACGGCCGTGTGCGCCAGCACCAGCGCCTGTCGCCAGCACCTGCGTGAGCAGCAGCTAACGCCGCCCCCCCCTTCCCTTCCGCAGCTTCCGCCGTGGGGGGAGGGAGATGTGGGGGTGGCGGGTGTGAGTTGCCTGCAGCCCGTCCTACCCCTCCCTTTAGCGGGGTCCGCCGTGAGGGGGGGGGGGGAGGTTGCGGGGGGAGGGTGAGGGGAAACAGGGGGAGTGTGAGAGGGTGGCGACAGAGATTCTGCAAAGCCAGCAGCTACCCCTCCTCTCTCTCTCACTGCCGCTCGTGCTGCTGTGGGGGGGAGGGTAAGAGAGGGTGGTGGGAAAACAGTCAAGCATCTGCAGCTGCCACCCGCTGCTACCGTGGCACCTCCTGCTGCCGCCCCTGCCGCCACCTGCCCTTGTTTCTGCTGTCTGCTGCTGGGGCCTGCAGGTGCTACCGTCGAGCCGCTGCTGTCCTGCTGCATGTTGCAGCCACAGAGCCTGCTCCTCAGGCGACCTGCCACCCCTACACCTGCTACTGCTTCTGCCTTGGCTGAGGGCGTGCTACAGCTGTATTTGCCACTCCTGCACCGGCTACTACTGCTCTTGCTTGCTTCTGTTTCTTCCGCTGCACTCCTGGTGCACCCCGTCAGGGGGCGTTTTACACTTACTCCTGCAATCAATTATGGGGGCATGTCAAAATATGTTTACATATTTTATATAATCGTTTGCAGTTGTAGTGTAGATATTGCATCATGTTTGGTGGTGCACCTCCTTGTGTTGCTGTTTACCTATTTGTACTGCTCGCTCTATAGTGAACAACCTCTTTTTGGCTTGCACTTTTCCTCTCGTCACTCTCGCCTAGGTCAAACCCTAGGCCCCTAAACTAATATGTTTGACACTGTCATGCCATTCGGACCGACCAACGCTCCCACCACTTTTCAAATGGCCATGAACGAAGCCTTCCGCCCGCTTTTAGATAAGTGCGTCATCGTGTACTTAGACGACATCCTGATCTACAACACAGACCGAGCACAGCACCTACAGGACATCGAAGCAGATTAAAAAATACTGAGTGAGAACCGCCTACTCACAAAAGCCTCCAAGTGTGAGTTTTTACAGGACATACTGGATTTTTTAGGGCACGTTATTTCAGCTGACGGCGTGGAAATAGACCTGAAAAAGATCGCGACGATTCAAGCATGGCACACGTCGACAATTTTGACTGAGCTGCAAAGCTTTTTGGGGTTCGTCAACTACGCGCGCCGGTTCGTCCCCGACATGGCGAAGTTGACTGCCCCGTTCACCGACCTGCTGAGGAAGGGGGTTGAGTATACGTGGGGGGAGAAAGAGCAAGCTGCCTTCTCGGCTCTCAAAAATATTTTGTGCTCACCGCCCGTGCTTCTCATCGCAGATCCTCACCGTCCGTTCGAGCTCGTCACCGATGCAAGTGACATCGCTGTGGGAGCAGTACTGTTGCAGGACTTTGGGAACGGTCTTCAGCCAATCGCGTACAAGTCCCACATGTCAAACTTATATATGCTATAGTCTGTTTAGGCTGTAGTGGGGTAGTTCTTAGAGGGTACAACACTTTTGTGTTTTATACTTGTACCCACCTGCTGCCTAGTTCATTCATTCCATTCTCTCACATTCTAACATGGTATTCTGAGCAGGTTCCCTAGTGGGAACGTTTTTTCAAGGGCCCACCACTAAATTTGTTTTTTCCTGCCCGGAGCGCGCTTCGCGCCCCGCCCGTCGTGGCCCCTAGCCCGTCGCGGCCCCTAGCCCGTCGCGGCCCCTAGCCCGTCGCGGCCCCTAGCCC